CTACGCCTATGACTACTCATGATAAATATAACAAGATAAGTGTAAAATTAAATTTAATATAATTATTTTAAAGAATTGTATTTTCATATAAGGCAATAAAGTCATCATGTTTGGTTATCCTTTCATATGATGTTGCATTAAACATTTACTATTATTAATTTATAACTTAAGGCTAAAAAAAATATTTCAAGATGTGAACTGGAAATTCAAATAAAATTTATATTTTATATAAAATTACTTATTTTTATAAGAAATCTGATGAACCAGCCAGTAATAATAAAAAAACAATACTGTCAATGGATTATGAAATATAAATAAGTGTAAAAATAGCTATATAAAGTTGATTATTATATTTGGTTTGTACCATAAATTTTACTGAATTGCAAATGATAAGTAAATTATTGTAATCCAATCGTTAAGATTTTAACAATCTGTGCTTATTGAGCTTAGTTAGTAATAAAATAACATGACTTAACAAAATTAGTTAATTAAAAAGACACAATAGAAAAGTTGATCAAAAATTTATTTTATTAAAAATATTATACCTGGGTTTTATTTAATTTCAATAAATTAAGAACAAGAAATACAATCGCAAATGTTGGCTATTATATTATTTCTACAATAAATCAATGCATAAAAATAAATAATAACTTAATCAAAACTTAGCTTTCACTCTACTCAAGCGGAAGCGTTTTCACTTCATTTGAAAGAGGACACAGAAAAGCATGTGTAATGCTATATAATAGCGTCAAGCGACGTTATTGATATTTTATGCATTAAAACAGTAGCGTCACTAGGAAGGGGGCGCAGGGGCTCGAGCCCCCTGAAAAATTAGAATAGCTCTCTGAAGCAAAAAAATTATTTAAATAGAATTTTAACCCTTTAAACTAAAAATAAATTTTTTTGATTGCCCTCTGAACGATTTCTTTTATAATTCTATTAAGTAATATATAGATTTATTTTATTATTCAAAAATTAATAGGACTGTCTAATTATTTATTAAATGGATTCTATTTTAAATATTAGATAGACTAGATTAATACATAGAAATTATATTTTCACTATGTCAGCTTGCAATCAAATTTTGTGATAAAAATAGAATATCAATAACACTCACTAAATATTAATTTAGTATTAACAGTTTAAGCTTAAATGACTATTATTATTTAAATTATTATTTAATTATCATATAACCCTAATTAAATAAATATAATCATTTATTAATTGAAAACTAAAAAATTTAATATTATAATTAGCCGAGTTCAAAATGACTAATCAACTGTATATTTATTTTTAAATTTTATTATCATACCTATTCCTAAAAATATTTTCAAGGTCCAATTAAGTATAAGAGATTTCTTTATAAAAATAAGTAATTCATATAGTTTATAATCCTCTATTATATACAGTTGTTTATAAAATATTGGATAAAATGCCACTTTTACGTATTTGAATATATTACAGTTAATATTATAATAAATTTTACTAATAAATACTTTTGATAATAAATATAGCAACAATTTGCATTTAAGTATTTAACGCCATCTATTTAGTTATAAATAATTTTAAAAATTAAACATTATCTATATTATAATTTTCCGATGTCCTCACTACGTCATCGTGACATCATGTCATCGGTACGTATTTATTTTTATTTTTTTTATTTGTTGATTTTATTTATTTATTTTATACAAACAGATGAATAGAATTTCGAGATGGTGTACACATACCTAACATGAATTGAGAGATTTGAAAAATAGTCTTTGAATTGATAAAAACAATATTCCCTCAACTTTGTAAATATGAATGAAACTTTTTATTTCACTTAATGCTTTCTTTATTTTTTAGATTACCTTATCAATTTTCATCTCATATTATCAATTACACATTAATGAAATCTCTACAAGATACTCAACTTGTATATTTATTTTGAACATACTCACAATTTTTGTCAGTACTTACATTACAATTTTTTATACTCACATTTTTCTTTCATAACCAATAATTAAAAAGATAACCAAGTATATTCAAATATTTAAATATTCTTATCCTAACCTATTTATAATCTCCAATCCTTATAAATAACTCTTTCTTTATTTTTTTCCCCTCCCTTAATGAATTTATTTATCACTAAATTTTATTATCTCATTCTTTTCTTTCTATCTCTATTATCTATTAACCACTATTTCTCAAAGCCTTATCAATTCCTTTAATTTAATTTTTATAATATAATAATTTATACCTTCTTTTTTCCCCCCATTTTTAATCTTATTTTTTAATTACCTTACAATTAATTAACCTTAATCTTAATAACATTACATTCATCATGTTATTTTTTAACTTTTAGAATATCATAATATGCTTGATAAGTCCCCCAAAAAATTTTTTCTGATGATAGCCAAACCTTATCAATTCCTTTAATTTAATTTTTATTATTTTTATAATATAATAATTTACACCTTCTTCTTTTTCCCCCCTTTTTTAATCTTATTTTTTGATTACCTTACCATTAATTAACCTTAATCTTAATAAATTACATTCATAATGTTATTTTTTAACTTTTAGAATATCATAATAGGCTTGATAAGTCCCCCAAAAATTTATTTTGATGATAGCCCTCCAACTACTAGAAAGCATCTAATATTGAACTATCTACCGGTTTTACATTATTTTAATGTTTGTTTAATTTAAACAATAGTTTATTTATATTTTTGCCTGATTTCTTTATTTGTCTAGGCTAACCCTAATCCCTCACATTGCTACAAAACATGATGAATCTCTTATTAAAGATAAGCAAAGAAAATAATGACGATTAAACAAACGCCTTACCCGTTCTAGAGTTACTGGTAGACAAAATAATAAAGAACTATGCTTGAAATGAACTCATCTGGAGGTTTGTTTTTTTTTATCTTATGTTTTATATCTATGTTTATTTTATTTTCACCCAGTTCTCCAAATGATATTTCTATCCACCAAATTACTCAAAATAAACGATATATATTATATGGCGTCTATTTTCTATAAATAAAATCACATATTTTTATTTTACATAAACAATTCAACATAAAATTGATAAATTTAGATATATTTTTAAAAAAATTTAAGGCCCGACCCGGCCCGAATTTTCTTAAAAAATATTGGGCAGGGTTCGGGCCGGGCCTACTTTTGCAGATCTCTATTACAAACTACTATTATTTTAAGATATAATATACCAACTAGAGGTGGTGCGATAATAATATATAAAATTTTAATTACTTTCATCATACAACTATGGTTCTTATTTTATAGTTATAAAATGTTTCATTTCTAATATGGCATCCTTGCCATGCAAATAGTTCAAGGCTTCAATATATTTGTATAATTTATTCTAAAGATTTTTAGTGTTTTTGTTTCATCAATTTTTCTAACATAATAAATTCTGATATGGGTTACGATCGTGAGTGTCATGGCTATGACTGTAAATTAACCAACATCTATTATTTGTGTGGCTATGTAATTTAAGTTTATTACTACAGCTGCTGAGAGCATAGATTGCATATTTTAGATATGTAATAATGGTCAACTGTGTAGTCGTTTATATATCACTAAAAATGGAAGATAATCTTTTAGAAATTTGATATCTCACAATAATTTTCTCGATTACTTATCTAGCTTTCATCATGTCATCTAAAAGGAAGCTCTAACCACCATATAGTTATATGATTTTGATTGGTCGTTTATACTCTCTTCTTCAAGAATTGTTCATTTGGTTTAGGCCTATAAATTTTTTCTTATTAGACTATTCTATAAAACATTGTCTAAAATGGTAATAGATAATTTCATGACCTTTTGTCAATGTAAGTTGCTAAGAATTATATATCGTTTTAAAACCATTATCAATTGAGGCATTTTTATGAATTAACTAACCTTTTTTATCACTTGTAATTCCTTAGACGCTAAATTTTTTTATATCAGCAATCGAAAATATTTTTTTACTATAATAAATAGATTTTGTATTTAAAAATTTTATTTTTAGAAATGTCTTATATTGTTTAAGTTAATTTTGTATCCATAATATAATAAATGACATAATAATAGTTAAGAGTTAGCAAATTTAAAAAAGTATAATATATTAATATAAAACCAGGCCGAAGGCCCGCAAATTGAGGAGCGAAGCCCTCCATAAAAATTATTTTTAGTTGAGCCCCCTGAGATTTTAAAGGCTAGCGACGCCCCTGCATTAAAATATAGTAAACGACATGATAATTCTCAAGGAATGGGATAATCAAATAATAGAGTTATCATTTAAAATAAATAAATGATAAGAAAAATAATGTAAACATAATAATATTTCTTTTTCTAATCGGCTTCTTTTTTGATATTTTCCTCTGATCGGCCTCAAAAATCGATATTTTCTAACGACTTCGTGGGCAAAATGCCCACCTGGTCTTATGGCCAGTCCGCCCCTGGGGCATTAGCAGACTGCATGTTAGGTGTTAATAGAAGTTAAAACTTATTAAGCCTATTATTTATAAAAAATAATAATTGATAAAACTAGTTAAAATTAGTTGAGAGTGTGCGAACAAGATTTGAGAGCAAATGTATTGTCTAAAAATAATTTCTTTATAGAAATTTTATTTGTGAAACTTATTAATTTTGTTTTCTAAAATTACGCTAATAAATTGATTATATCTAATTAGATTGCCAACTTTAAATTATATTGGAATTAATTCTTCCCTCAAGAAGAATTTTGATGTTGTTTGACACTTGTTAATTTCCATTATTACGATTATAAATAAAGTTATTATTATAATATGTTTTTCCGCATTATAATGGATTAATAAGAGAATTGGGGGAATTACGGAGAAGTATCCATACGATCATAGGTATACCGAAATCTACTAGACTATGTAGTCGTTATCCACTGTCAAGTAAAAATACATAATAAATTTTTTAACATTATATTAATATAACTATTTAACAGTCAGTTAATTTACAAGTGACATCTGTATATCATATTATCTCTCTAAAATATAGAGAAGTTTAGAAAATGTCTAGTCATTGAAGGTAGAGATTTAAATTTAATTTGATTATTTTGACCTACTGTAAATTTAAATTAATATCTAAACAAAAATGAAAATAGTATTTAATATTAGTTATTCTATTTTGTACCTATTGTAAAGGTTATTAATTGCTTGCATTAACCTAAGAGCTAATCATAACTGACTAAGTGATTTAGTAAAATAAATATTATTAAATTATATAAAATAAAATTTATGATAAATGGCTTATATTTATATTAGATTTAAAAATAAATATATTTAACTTTTATAATTGAATAATATAAGAAACTTATTTTTTTTAAAGATTTTGACTGAAAAATTTATATGCAAACCTTTAATTTAACTCAAAATATGAAACAACCAATAGTAATTCACCTTTTTAAAAGATATTCCAAAAAAAAATATATTGATTTATTATGTAAATAAAACATTATATTTGCCATATTAAACATTGATAATTAAATAACAATCAATATAATAACCTTTTTTTAAAATGACATATTTTTGTATAACCTCAAAAATTTATTAACCTCCTCTGACCATGCTAATAATTTTTGGAGATCTTATATTTGATCAATTCTAACTACTAATTATTAATTTCCATGTTTGTTCTATTGATTGACTGAAAGTAAGTTTAATTAATTGTAAAATTTAATTCTCAATTACTACATCCTTTACATAAAATTTATTAGATAAATTTTGGAGATCTTATATTTGATATACCACTTTAACTACTAGATTATTAATTTCCATGTTAGTATAAGTTTAATTCTCAATAATCTTATTAAATCCCTTACATAAAATTTAGTAAAAAGAGGGAGGAGGGGGAAGCTTCTAGCCTGTTGAAACCTCTTGCCCAAATTTTAAAATATCTTATATAGCAAAATATTTATTTTATTTTCTAATGAATAATAAATATTTCCAACTTCTAATTTTTTTTAAAATTTTTTTTATTAAATTCAATCAGGCAAATAACAAAATATGAGAAACAAATTTAAGATTGAATTTTTGAGATGGGGCCTATATTTATGGTAGATGGAATATAACTCCCCATAAAAATTCCCCTCAATTGTTTTTTTTTTCTGAGAAGGGTGGGATATTTTTTGAATTTTCGATTAATATTATATGAGTTATTGCTGGACTGTTTAATTAATATTGTAAATTTTAGTATAATAAAATATTTGATGCTATGCCCAAAAATTTATGCCTACATTTAAAAATGTGAATCCATTTTCAAAAATATTTATGCTTGAGTCACAAATTATATATTATTTTGTAGCTTTTAAAATTCTACCTTAAAAACTATTTAAATTTTTTTTTATAAATGTTGTATTTTGAATTCAATTTTCATATATCACTTAAGATATGTTAATATTATTTTTTTATTGATTTTTATTATAATTATGTCGATGGTAGTGAATCTGTTGTCCCATTGTTTAATAATGTTTATTGTTTTTATTTTATAACAAAATATATTATTTTCCTCTGAAGATTTTAACGATTACTTTTTTTAACAACAATAAAAATTTAAATTGTCTTAATTGTTTATGAATTAAATTTGGAAATAACGTTAAAAATCGTTCATGAAATTATCTGTGATTTTTATTTCCAGTGAAATTTAAAAAACAATTTAAAGGGAATATTTTTGGATATAATGTATATTTTCTTTATATTTAACTCTTTAATTTTAAAAAATTGATAGTATATTAATTCCATGCCAAATCCATAACTTTTCTACCCGACCTTTTAAATTTACATAAAATTTGGCATACTGATAGGACATCATTAGAAAACATGTAACTCTATTAAAGGACTTTTATTAAATATTAAAGATTTTATAAAATAATGATCTTGCGGTTTTTATATAAGCTATAAATTTTGAACCTGAAAACTCCAGGTATTTCGCTTTCCGAATTTCCTTAAATTTAATATTTTATTATTCACTTATATTATATCTATATGTAGGGATGTACCAATATTTTTTTCGGATCGGGCCGATATTTCACCCATTTTAAAATATTGGTTATCGGCAGGGATCCAAACCGAAACGAAAGTTCAGGTTCGGTTCGCAAAAAATAAAAAGGATTATGTATAAGGAAATTTTTTTTTATTTCATAATTAAAATAAAAACCTTCATTTTTATTAATTGCACATTATAAAATAATATTTAATTTATAAATATATTTAATAAATATATCAATGTTTAATTTTAATATGAACAATTACTTAAAATTTTTTATTAAGACGCACAATTAATATATTTACAAAATTCGTCTCACTCAAATTACATCTATAAGGAGATAATATAAATTTAATTATTGAGAAACTTTCCACACTAACTTGGGTAGCTGGCATTGCCAGTATGATATCAGATTTGATGTGTCATTTATTATACTATATGTAAATAATTTATATATTAGATTTAATTTTTTTCTAGGCATTATAATTTATAAGCTTAAAATATTGTAAAAAATGTTGTAAAATGGCAATATACTAAAGTTTATAAAAATTATGACTGACGTTTATCAATCAAATGTGATTGATAATAATTTTTAAAACAATTTTAATATAATTAAAATTTTTGCAATATACTACTAGTAATAACTTACACATTATAAGCATAAAATTATGAGACTCGAACCGGTTCAGGCATTTTAGCGGTTCGGTTCAGGTTCGGCTAGAATTTTTTTAGAGGTTTAGGTTCGTTAAAAAATACCGGTTTTTAACGGTTCAGGTTCGTTTTGGATCCCTGGTTATCGGCCAATATTATAAAATTTTCCGATTCGATATAAAATGGCGTCTAAACAAAATAATATGTTCTAAAATTTTTTAAAAAAAGTTATATCTAAAATCATAAATAAAATCGAAATCCATTTTTATGTAATATTTTTTTAATTAATCAATAAACATTCTTATTGTTATTTTTTTGGGGCATTCTGTTTATAAAAGTGTGCGATAATCTCTTCAGAATCAGTTTTTAGTGAAGCTGGTGATATTGACAGTTATCTCGCCGCAGGGATAAATTGGAAATTTTGGTATTTTTAAAAAGAAATCTGATATATTATTGTTAAATATTATTGTTAAATATTATTGTTAAATATTTATTTCAAATTTCATATATATTTGTTTATTACTTATTATGTATATAGATTAATGTATTACTTATTTTATATAAAAGTGATTTAACAATAAAAATATTTTATTGAATTGAATATAAACTATAACTGATCATTATAATATATTTAAATGACATAATGGTATAGTTAAATATAGATGTTATACTAACAAAAAATATATTAAAAATAGAAACCATTGGTATCTTTACAGAATACATAATTAGATATGATATCGGATCGGTAATCGGCCGATATCAATTTAATATTGGGAATATCTGATCGGCCTCCAAAAAATGGTATCGGTCGGTACACCCCTATCTATATGTAAGAATAATTTAAACTTGGGACCATGGGCTTTTTAGTCATTACGATTTAAAAAAAAATATTTTTCCCAAAAATAGATGGCCGGCCCTGTATAAAATAACGCATTATATTATTTTTTGGGGATTTTTTAAATAATAAGATTTTCCAGCCTTAATATCATGAAATGAAATTATTTCGATTATAATCTAATTTTTGAAAAATTATTTTATTAATTTTGCAATGATAGGAAAATTAAAATTCACGAAAGATATTACTTATTTTCGGCTTTTCATTAAATTTAGTATTTTTGACTCCTTCATAATTTCGTTTTGCAATAAATAATAAGTATGCCAAGTCATTTTTGATGGGCTCACTGTTAAAATATTATCTTTTGATATTAAAAGGAGATCTGTTGTCAATGCATAAACAAAAGAATTTGCTCGTCCTTTATGATAGAAAAAATTTACTTTCATCTCTATTTACACCCACTTTTTGCACAAATCCTAACCACCAATTGTTTTCTTATATACAAGTCACATATCCTCAATTTCATTAACAGACACATATATTCTCCATAAACGTTTGCGAATTAAATATATTTTAGTATTTAGTTACGATTGGAAACACTGCGTGAAATTTTTATGTCCCAGGTATTGTGTTAAATTTACTAAATTATTTTATCTCTTCTGCCTCATACTCTGGTATTGCGGCTAAGAAAAATTTATACCGTTTATAAAGCTTTTCAGCCTATTTCTAAAATTGTACAGGTATACTTATTTGATCTGAATATGGTCTTTGTAAGCTTTCCTTGGCAACACATCTATTCTGGATTGTTAATTATTATTTCTGAAATAGCTTTTGATATTTTCGTTGGATAATTTTTTCATTAAGTTTTTTTTCTTAATAGGAGATATTCCAATTTCATTTAAGGGAATATTGATTGTATCTATTGATGTGGATGCTATGATGATATTATTTATTACATAATCATTATCAGAATTTATATTATCTAGATTTGATAAACGCTTACGGCATTGATCAATATAGTGTTTTCCTCCTCAATATTTGAAAATTAAGTTATTCATGTTATTACTGTTGGCAGGGTTGGGCAGTATCGCGGATATTTGTAAAGTATCTTTTTTAAAATTTTTGAAAGTATCTTGTATCCAGTATCTAAGATACATATTATTTAAAAGTATTTGTATCTTAACCAACTTTGTATTCAAAAAGATACAGATACTTTAAAAAAAATTTATATTGGTTAATTTAAATAGTATTAAAATTTAAAATGATATTGTTTTAAGATTTAAATGTAAAATTTAATCAAAATTTAGATATTTTAAGATAATTTTTGATATATGACGTTGGTCGTCATATAGCAATTTGCTAACAATTAGAACTACCATATTTGAATCGTTTTATATCTGTCTATTTTAAAATTATGGAAGAAGAAAATAGAATAATATGTTTATCTTCGTCTTCAGATGATTCTTCAACCGAAAATTATAACAATAAATTTAAACTAAGCATACTTAATGGTAAATTTTTTGAAGTACTTCAAGATGATCATAATAAAGAAATTTAT